TGTGTGTGTGTGTGTGTGTGTGTGTGTGTGTGTGTGTGTGTGTGTGTTGTGTGTGTCTGGTGAATGAGGTTGAGATCGAAGGACTTGTCACAGCAGCTACATAGATTAGTTGACGCGCTTTAAACACTTAAATACTTTTAAAGCGCGTCATCTAACCTATGTTAAAAGTATTTAAGTGTTTAAAGCGCGTCAACTAACCTATGTAGATTAGTAACGCGCTTTAAAAGTATTTAACTGTTGAATTTTTGTTAAAGCAGGGCACACACACGTGTGTATGTCCTGCTTTATAGAAGTTTTGATTTTTGTTAAAGCAGGGCACACACACACGTGTGTATGTCCTGCTTTATAGAAGTTGTGATTTTTGTTAAAGCAGGGCACACACACACGTGTGTATGCCCTGCTTTATAAAAGTTGTGATTTTCGTTAAAGCAGGGCACACACATGTGTGCCCTAAATATCATTTCGAATTACCATCAACCAAACAGTTGTCACGTGACCTCTTGCGCGTGCAGCCACTGGGAGCTTGCGCATATGGCTGCAGGGTATGTTTGTAGTTGCTACAGCTCGTCGGTATGACAGGTCTCATAACCTGATAGTCGTCAACTTTAACCGTTAAGGGGATCCTATAGCGAAGGCCGAATTTCCTCGACGTCGGTAATGTCAACATTTCTAATCTTGTTTTCTATGTTATATATCTATATCTGTCCTTGTCTAACGAGAGGCATCTGTCTTTGTTCGATTGCTGCGCCATCTCTCGCTACACGCAATACTGTATCAACCTGAATGTGCTTTTGCTTAATATTATAAAACTTCATTTTACAAAATCTTTTTTTCTAGACGTTGAATCTTACAATTAGTTTTATTTACACGATTACACGATTGTTCCTACATGTTGTCCCTACGTCGCCTTGGTGTCATTATATATGTATATATAAACTGTAGTAATTTTGTTATTGTCGTCAGATGACAGTTGTATGTGCCCAAATTAGTAAAATTTTTAATTTTTTTTTGTTCCCGATATGAAATCGTATAACGCGATGTAGATTTTTGTGCGTACTTTAATTCTAGACCAAAAACTTGCAATTCTGTAAAGCCAATTCAAAGATTCCTTAAAATGAAAAAATGTCGGTAACTATACCGCCACTATAGGATCCCATCTCGCTTCGCAGGGCGGAGCGACACTTTTTTCTGCTTTAAATAACTTTTCTTTCAATATACCAACAATTCACTGCTTTAAATAATTAAATAATAACGCACGGATATCTACTATCAGGCATTTCGTGTATGGACAGTACAGCGAGTCTCATAAGCATACGTACTTTGCATACAAACGTAAACGCATTATGGTCACATTCATCGCTCATTTATGAGCTTCCTTTTGAGATTAAGAAAAAAATTTATACAACTTTTTTATAGGGAATTTAATACTCTATTTTTTTTATTTGAAACATATTTTTATCCGATGCATATTTTTGACTATAGAAGCAAAAATATAGAAAAAGTCGCATTTTTCGAGATTTTTTTCAAAATGGCGGCTCCAATATGTCCGACCGCCAAATTATATTATAATATTCGTAATCAGCAGCCAAAAATACGTCGAAAACGTATTTTTTCATTCGATTTTGAGATGAGGCAGTACATCTGCAAGTTTACCAAGTTTTATAGTAAAATCTCCTCTATTCAACAACATTAATAATATTTTTAAAAAATAATTTTTTAAACAAAATTTTTATTAAAAATTAGGAAACAAAATTTTTTTAATGTGGTTAAATAGAAATGTTTACCATAAAACTTTTATATGAAACATTTTTTGATATCTCAAATATTTTTCGAGATATATCGAGAAAAGTAAAAAGCCGCTTCTATACATATAAAGAGTATATAGTTTTACCCTACCGTTTTCGGGCAGCAACAAAAAATTTCTAAATTCATCTTTTTACCCCCACCCCCCTCTGTACATGTATGGAAAGTTTCATTAAAATTAGAATTTTTGAGTTCACGAGGTTCCTTTGTCCTGTCAGAGTGTGACAATTCAGATTATGTTCTTACCTTGACCCACACGATGTTCTTACCTTTTCATTATTGTAATTTATTAATTATTATATAAATACTTAATCCTTTTTTTATAAATTATTAGCAAAATAGGTATAAGTTTGTATATTTTGACAGTTGTGTGTATCAAGGGTTAATAGTGTAATAGTAATAGCATAATGTTAAAGCTAAATAGCGCGCGCGAAGCGCGCGTCTGTAGTGTCTAGTGATTTAAAAAACTCACAGGTACAATTTGTGACCGGTTGCCTAAATCGCACCTTTTGCAGAATATTACAAAAAGACTTATAACAAATTTGTTATTGGTAAAAGATTAAACGTGTAATAATAGGTGCCTGAAACATCAATAAGTTACATATTTTAACGTTTATTTGCATACGCAAATCACTACCAAATGAGAAATATATAAAAAATAACTTAAGTGCGGGGTACGCATTCGGCAACTCTCTCCTACTTAATTTACAAACTCAAATTTTTCAGTGAAAAAATTAAGTTTGACTTTATATGTATAACTCTTATTTAGCAAAATATAATTTTTTTTCCAAAAATTGCTTCGTGAACCGATAACTATAACTCTAATAAATAAAAGAAATTAATTATACTGATCTCCGATCACTCCTATTATAAGGAGCTAGAATGGTTATCGTTGAAATATGATGCATTCTCTTTTGCAGAGAACAGAATTGAAATGGACACGATGACGCTAATATGCATTATATGCTATGCAAGTAACTTTAACAGCGGCGTTCAACGCCGTTCAATATAGTCACTTTCTCAAACTCTGAAAGTATTAATAAAATCCGAAAATGAATAATATTCAAAATTTTTCTTATAATTTATTATAAAAAAAATTGTATATATATATATATATGTTGTGTAGCCGATGTTTCAATAGTGAATGAAAAAATCTTGAGGTACAGTTATTTTATCAATTTCCTAGACGTTCTTTGTATTCTTTGTATCCTGACGTTTGACAATGTACCGTCACAATTCATATTTTCTTCTTCTCTTTTCTTCCCATAAAACGTTCAAAAAATCAATAAAACTGTAGGACTACACAACACATCTGATTTGCACGATTTTTCTTTAAGAAATTGTGAGAAACACTTGAAACATTATTTATTTTCGGATTTTGTTAATACTCCCAGTTTTTCCAAAATTTTCCTCTAATTTTTATTCCTGTCAGAGTCCTGTAACCTCTTAACAGATATAGAGATATTACAGACTTGGAATGAATTTTGAAAGAAAAACATTAAATATTATTTTACATAAAAATACCATAGCTCAAACCATAGCTAATAGATAATTTTAATTATCCCTATTTTTTTATTTTAATTAGCATCGAAGTGGAAGAAAAAACGATATTTTATTCTTCAGAAAATTGTCTAAATCTATAGCGTTTCTCGAAAATTCGATAGTTGATATCCTATGGTGGCATATATGGGAAGAACAAAGGTGTAGGCAGGGAAAAATGACGAAAGCGCGGGAACGTGAGATTGTGAGAAGAAAGAAAATCCTCTGCGAGATCGAAAGAAATGCAAGCATTATGAGAGAGATAGACTTGATAGTGATAGGCTATACCCACTGGTAGCGTAACGGGCGTGACTGTATTGCCCGCCTACTTGATATTCGCGCGCGCAAGATCGCAAGCCACCTCCTCCGCTTAAAGGTGGTGGGGGACTATAGTTGATGATGATAGAAGTCGGAGTGGGGAGGGGGAAGTTTAGGGCGCCGCGCCGCCGGGATCGGCCGGCTTCGGCCAGCATCGGCTGCCCGTAGTCCCCGTAGATTCAGATCGCGGTAGTACGTGAGAGCGCGCGCGTCGGTTATTTTCTGTCGCTCCTGCGCGCCGCCGGCTCTTGATCGCTCCCTCGCAAGCCAGCTGATCGCGAGCCGCACGCTCGCCTGCGTCTCGCCGATGTCGGGTCAGTAAAATTCCACGATTTTCTCGTGTCCGCGTGACGAGAAATCGCCGTCGATAATCGCCACGTCAAGGATCTTCCGTCGCGCGTGTGAAACGTTTTGGATTCTCCTCCTACTCAATATCCCGGTCCGCTCCCCTCCCCCGCCGCCGCCAACTCCCAGATTCTCACCACCGATTACTTCTGATTTGTGCCCCTCTTTCCCTTTGACCGATCATATTATCCAATTCCCTTCCTCCCTCTCTCTCTCTTTCTCTCTCTTTCTCTCTCTCTCTCTCTCGGCTGATCCTTCTCTTTGTGAGTTTTCCTTCGGTCCTTAGGTCCTAATATCTCGATCCGTTTATCATTACGTTATACGTGAGCGTCGTCGTAGGTTCTCTCTTCCGAAATTGTCTCTCCCGTATACATTCGTACATCACTTACATCCTTTGTTCCCGCACGTATCATCTCTCTTTCCGCACGTATCATCTCCGATCAGAAATCGAATTGTGTTGTGCGCGTTATCTTTCCCGCGCGCGCGCGCGCGCGCCCACAGAAGACCGGAGAAGAGCGGAGCGGGTGAGGAAGGAGTAGAAGAAAAAAACGACGGGGAAGAGAGAAGAGTGCGACGATACCTTGTTCAGAGACATGAGCGTTCATCTCGTCCGGCGCGATCGTTTGCTCGCAGTGTCATTGCTCTGATAAAAATCCTCCCTCGCGCGAGCGTATATCGCAGCGTGAAGAAACCACCCGACGGGATACCCGACGGACTTCATCTCGTTGAGTACGCGCGCGCTCGCGCGCACACGACCCTCAGCTATCTTCTCGCCGTACTTGAGAGCGCGCTTACATATACGCACGGCGCATCGTTGGGCGGCCGAGAGCTTCCAACAAATCTTTCCGCGCGTCAGCACGTTAGTTTTCGTGAATCGCCGCGTTGCGCTAAAACAGCCAAAATTCGGGTGAAGAGTGAACCGAAACCATCCTACGCGATGGACCCAGCCGACGAGCAGGACGTGGAGAACCCGGGTGGAGGTTCAATGGCTAACGGAACGAATGGGACCAACGGTGCTAATGGACAACACCAGACGCCGGAAGGGTCGTTGGTAAGTTTTTCTTTCACGTTGTTGGCGCCATTTCTTTACACAGCTCCGCTCCACATTCGCTGCGTTATATCTGGTAAATAATCCTCGCCAGATTTGATGTGTGTAAACAGTGAGGCGTTCGATACGTAACGACGCGGCGACGCGTCTCTCATTTTTGTTAGTATCGAAAGGAAACAGGTGTCGGGTCGTTAGAGGTTAACTCAATCACTACTCTCTCGCCCCGAATACGTGCCCGTTTTTACTTTAACGTTCTTTTTTGAATGATGTTTCTGTTTATCGCTCCGAGAAAGAAACGCACGATCTCGCCTCGTGTCTGTCGTAATTTCGAGGAAAATTGTGTCTAATTGGACACGAGTCACACGGCATGTATCAATTCGTGTTTCTCGTTTTCGGATCGCCGCGGATTAGCAAGATTCGCGCTGAGCAAAGAGATCTCGAAAAAAAAATGTAGAGTATACTATAAAAATCTTGACTCTTTTTAAAGAAACGTCTGTGGTGGTCCATCGTACGAGATATGCTTCGAAATAGTCTCTTTGCAGTTTCGCTGGAAAGGGATTATTTGTAGCCAAATTTGGAGACATGATGTCTTGCAAGAAATGGATTTTTCTGCAATGCATACCATTGCCTAAATACCGTAACCTGGGTCAATCAATGATTTAGAATTTGCTGCGTCATGTCAGTCGGATATTTCCGGCCAATGAAGGAACAAAGGAAAGAATAGAATATAAAAAGGACTTCTGGGTCTTCGTTCATCAAATTCACATTTTTTTGACCTGACTAAACTGACTTAGAAAAAAGTTCTCCGGCCGATTGGACCTAAATCAAACCTAACTATTTGATGCGTATTTTTTTCAAGGGTCGAGGTTTTAGATATCGAAAAGAAGTATATATACACATAAAATATACAACGTATAATTATTTATTTTTATATATAATTGAGATGTATAAGATAAATGAATAACTATGTCTAAAAAAGTAAAAATTATTGAACAATTATACATATACACTGTTCAAAGAATTTTTTTTAGCTCAAGAACAAGGTTATTTTCTGCAGTTTTTGAATGCTGATTTCATTTACCAAATTACTGCTATCACATCACAATTTTGAGACATCTGCGGTTAAAGTTATAAAAATTTTTGTGCATTTTGGCACGTTACAACTGTAATATGTGTTAGAGAAATTATATTGCAATCAAAATTAAATACATGTTTTTAGGACTTTTAGTTCTTAAAAATAATTTAAGAATAACTATTTTTTGCGATTTTAATCACAATTTGGTAAACGGGATCGTATTCAGCGTCTAAAAAAACTATGAGAAACAATTATCCTTTTTTTTAATTATAAGAATTGGCGCATCTTTACGACTACATAATACAATATGACAAGCAATATTAAGAAAATATAAATTTTTAAATATAAAAACATATTAGCGCTATTATTGCATATAGAAAAAACTCTTAATACTTTCGTACAGATATAAAAATATATGTACGAATGTAATAATCTTTTTTATACACTTTTATACGCTTTATACAATTTTTTATTATTTTGCACAATCGCGGAATTAAATTCTAGTATCGGTGTATACGTGTGATTTTTAACAGGTTGAATTTAATATCAGCGATCATAATCGTGTCGACAGAAATACGTAGAAAAGGCTCGATCGTTTGCTGGTAAGGCAATATTAGTTTACAAACAACGCCAATCTTGCGGGGTGCGCTCACTCAGGGAATATTTTCCTTCACATCAAATATGTGTTTTATGCCCTCGATAATTATTTCCGTCCTCGTGAAATTCACATTTCAGCGTGTGTTTATAAAAAGCATGTCCGTCAAAATCCTTGAAATCCGTCGAAAAAGAAAAATACAGAACGTCTGCTCGCGAATCTACTGTTGTAACCTTAACTGTTATTTGTACATATGTAAATTGCGTTTCGTTAGACTTTTTACCATATACGTTTCATATAACAACTGGATTGGCTTATGCAATTTGTATGTATTCATATTTGTTAATGCTTGCGATTTTCACAGTTTTTTAACCTTGACTTCTTGTTTATGTCTGAGCGAGCGTCTGAGAAAGTCCGAGTCTTATCGGAGAAATTTTACGACCGATATAACAGGAAAAACACGTATCGGAAAAATAGTTTTTAGTGTTAATTGCGTCGAAATTGGTAACGCTATCGCTGGCAGGGGATCGATTATTGTAATATATAATTATATGCTCCTGCGACAATTTGTTTGCTTGACTTTACAGTAAGAATCGTATCACGTTGCGCGCAATTAAAATTTTGATTTTTGACACGTCTAAACCTACATTTAAAATTATTTCGTAAGTAGCTCGGATGAAAGGAAAATCAGAGTAACAGTGGGACCTAATATTGCATGTTTCGTGCACGAGGCGAATAATTGCTGTAATTTATATTAATAGCGGCAATTTATTTGAAACCTGCAGGAGCATACGAATCTGTTTACTACTGATTTTCATCATGACTTTCCGACATTAACAAACATTTAAAAGTTAATTAAGATAAATGTACCAATGCCTGGGTACGTACCTCTGTCTGGACATTTTCATCATTTTAGTCTTTAAATAAGTTATAACGCGAATTGAAATCAAAGAATCAAAATATAAAAATATTTTTTTTGTATTATATTTTTATCTTTGATTTTAATTCACATTATATTTATTTAAAAACTAATATGATAAAGAGGTGTTCCGACATTGGTCTTAAATGTCAGGCATTAGTACATTTACGTTAGATCGTGCATTTCGTTTTTGTCACAATCGTTCGTACTAATTAAGGGAGAGAAAGTCCACTAGAAAATGAAATATAAATTTAAAAAATTTTTTTTAGAATATATTGTTTCCTGTAAGAATTTAATTTAAATTTTATATTTGATTCATCATCTGAATCAGATCTTCAGAATCAGATCTTCAGAATCTTTTCTGATGATCTGATTTCTCATCTAAATTAGATCAGAATCAACAATCTTTATTTGTATCTTTGAATTGAAATAGAGAAAAAAGAAATAATTTATTGCAAGGGAGGTTTGTAACGCCAAATAGCATCAAAATCTTCGATAAAATCACGTTTCTTTATATACTTCTTTCTTGAATAATATCGAATCGATTTTTATAATACTTTTTTTTATTTCTTTAGAAAGGAACGGATTACGATTTAATCAATTGGTTATAAAAATGTATGATTGTAGAAATTATAGCAATCAAAGTTGCACGAAAAGTGACTTTTTAAAAACTATAATTTAAATTTAGAAAGAATTGATTTAGAAAAAAAATCATGTATCTAAATATAGCTAATCATGCAGGAGAAAGATTTAAAAAAATATGATTCAAGTATGTTTACCCATAGTGATAAGACAGAGAAATATAAAGATAATTTTGTTCTATGATTTCGTAACTGTATTCTTCCTTTTTACGAATATTTGAATTAGCGATGCTTCAATATTTTTTTTCCACAAAAAATTGATTTAAAATTGAAGAATGGATTTCTATTCGGGTCACATATGTCCGAGCATATGTCTATATGTATCACGTTAACGAGTTAGGTTTGTATTGATTATTTAATTTTCACAAATGTGAAAGTTAAAGGATTGATCTCTAAATGCATATTAATAACTAAATTAACTAAAATTATTTAAATGTAGGTGATAAAGATGAGAGATTTCCTGTCTTTTATATACATATATCTAACGTTCCCGCTTTTCTTGGTCATTAGTGGTAATGGCTATACTTAATACTTTTTTTAGTGATTATTTGCAAAATGACTGTATTTAATGCTTTCGCATTTTCATTTCTTATAAATTTGTACCTTACGACACCAGATTTTATGATCTTCGTCTATTTATGTTTGGTTTACATTTCTGGGCATTTAATCCATAATTGCCATCGTAAATTATTATCTACGTTCGCGTGCTAGTCGTGAGTGAAATTTATAAAGTTCCAATTCACGCGAGACACTGCAGGCGTACTATCGCTTCGTGCGGGTTGCATTTTTTCGAATTCGGATTTATGCGCTAATCATACTAATTACATCTGATATAGAGCACGAGAGCGTGATGCATGCAGTGAGCACCGACCAATTTTGGTGCAACGGAAGAGAGAAAGAGAGAGTAACATCGGGGGGAGATCTGTCGCGAAGACACTCATCATTGTACAGGTATAAACGGGTCTTCACCTGAGAATTTGTATATACGATCCGTGCGTGAGTGTGTGTATATGGGTGCGTTCGCGCGCGTGTTATCATCAGCAACGACGTTACCCGAGCGGCGTGCGTAGAAGGGAAAAGGAAACGGAAGATAGGAGAAGAACGGAGAACGGCGTGAAAGAGGAAAGCAGCGAAAGGGGGAGAAAGATAGAACCTCGCGGAGTCGCGCGAAAGGGGTGAAGGTGGGAGGAGAGGGTTAGAGGGATTCGCGGGTCGGTGTGCACAACCGGCGCAAGGGCGGGGATTCCCCCTTCGGCCAATCGGATCGACTAGCGAATGCGCTCACCTACGGTACCGCCGTCTCGCGCTGCTCGTTCACCTGCAGACGCCATGTCGTGACGTCACATCTCATTACGACCGGGCCCCGGCGTTTATGGTAACGACGTATTGTCGCCTCGCGACAAGTATCGCCTCGCGAGATTGCGAAAGTCGTTCGTAAAATTTCACTCCGGACATTTGATTCCGATACGTGAAATCATGATTGTGCCAGTGTCTCACATGTCCCACGACATATATTTCTCGAATGTACCGAAAATGAAGGAGAATTAATGATTGGTATCTCTGGTAATTTTCTCAATTCTTTATTGTGAATCTTTAAAGCCCGTGTCACACTACATATTACGGGATCGCAGGTCGGAATCCAGCAATCTGGATCCGAAGCTGCTCGCCTGTGATTGGCTGAATTCTGATCCATGATCCGCAATCCCAATTCGATCCGGATGGGAATTCAACAATCTGGATCCGAAGCCGCTCGCCTGTGATTGGCTGAATTCT